TTTCCCCCCCCCCCCCCCCCCCATTAAAATTGTATGTTTCTTTCTTCATTTTAGCACAAGTCCACCTTACTGTTGTGTAGACCTTTACTCTTTGCGAACAGGAGAGATGGTCAAATCCATACAGTTCAAAACTCCTATTTATGATCTGCATTGCAATAAAAGGTAAGGATGTCCAATCTGTACTCTTTTTGTGTTAGGGCATGTAAAATTCCAGTAACAAATGTAATTTCTGGTGTATACACTCACTGATTTTATTCTTTTGACTTTGCTGTAAGCGTAGCTTGGGTTCTCCACTTCTCAAGTAGTGTTTCAGTTTTGGATATGACAGCATGCTTTTACAATGGATTTCATATGAGAATCTCAGAAGTTTTGTATACGAAATCTTTTAAGATTCTCTGAATTGTGATGAGGGTGGGCTCAAATCAGTGATATCCTCTCTCTCTGCCTACAAACGGAGAAGTGGAGCCATAGGTATTTTAAATAAGGCAGTCATGGTTGTGCCACTTAGTGTCTGATTGGGACTCTAGAGCTTATGTCTCTTTCCTGTATGCCTTGTTCTGTCAGATACGTTGCCTTGCTGCACACCCAAACCATAACACGCGTGCAGTGTTCTACGGGAAATAACGTTCCTGTGAGTCAAATAACAAAGCAGCATCTCTTAGGTGGAATAACTTCACCTAATTTCTGAGAGAAAATGGCTGAGAAGGCTGAGCATTAGGTTTTAAATATCTTGTTTCAATAGAATCAGAGGTTTAAATTTTTCTGAATTGACTTCAGACAGTCATCTCTCCAAGACACACAAACTACAAGGGTATTCAGTTTTACTGCATCATTTTAAGAAAGAATAGAAAACTCAGGATCGCTCCTGTACGTGAGGATATTGATGATCCATGGTAACTATAATGAGAGAATTTGATGCAGTGACTTTGACCGAAGACCATGCCCATGCTGCGTACTCTGATGCTTCTTTCCACCCTATTATTGTTGTTTTGAGTCATTATATGTCCCAAAGTACCTTTTGGACATTGAGGAATATGATTCTTCTGTTAAAGGTAGAGATTTGAAAGTGGAGAAGTTGTCGCATTTCACCATATGTATTTTTTTGCTAGAACTGATGGTCCTGCAGTAAGGAAGGTGCCAAAATAACATGAGTCATTTAAAGAAAAACTAATAATGTGCCTATTTTGTATGTAGATAGCATGTTTTATGTTAAGAACACAGAAGAATATGAGCGCATATCAAACTCATATAACTAAAGGAAGTTAGTAGTGTTGGAGATTTAAAAAAAAAAAAAGAAAAAAGGAGGGGGGGGTTTAAAAGCTTAGAACCTAAACACGCATGTTTAAATCAAGTCAAGTATAAGTTATGGAAGAAAAAAAAATACTACAGAACAAACAGCTTTAATATCACAGCTACTTTAATAGTGAAGACAATATTTTGATGGTGTAAATGTCTACAAAGAAGAGTGGCAGTGCTTATTATCCCCAGTAAAACTGATTATCATAAGGTGTAGGCTTGATTCTTATATCAAAAAAAAATTTCTCTGAAGTAGCTGAGCTGGTGAAAATTATGTCATGAAAGAGGTCACTGTTCCTTTAAAAGCCTGCCAGAATGAGTTCAGTACTTATCTGTGCAACTGTCTCTTTAAAAATTTAAAGTTCCCTTGTGTACAGTGTGGTGATAGTAAATCTTTCCAGCCTGGCCTCCTAGCAGAAGAAAAATCCAATTGTAAAAACAGTCAAAAGGCAAATCATCATTCAAAGTCTCTCCCAACTAAAAAGTCTTTCCAGGTGCTAATGTTTCTTTTCTGAAGTGGTAAAAATGGGAAAGCTACTTCAAAGCTGTGTGGCTGTATCCAGGGTAGCTGCTTATCTGGAATGTCTCAGGTTCTGTTATTATCAAAGGAAAGTTCACTATTTCAGATTGAAAATGCATTATATGGCCTAGTGTAGTGCTAATGGTGCTTTAACTGTAGACGAATGGAGTCCAAAATTTGAACATAAAATGAAGCTTGAGTTGCAGAAGATTAGAAGAGTGTGTATTATTTATGTATTTACACTCCAAAAGCATCCATCTGGTAGGCTTCATTTATACAGAAAGACTGTACGTCTTCAAAGAGTAAAAAACAAGAAATCTACGGGATTAGGACATATTGCAGTCAAATGTATGCAAGTTTTCTAGATATATGTTACAGGTGCATATGCATCCAAAGTCTTTCCATTATTCATTGGTTAATTTTCTTTTAGGCCTTCTGGAAGACGCTGCTTAGAAATGATAGGTTTCTTTTGTTTGTCTCTCCTTAAACTCGAGCTATTCAAAGATACTTTGTTTAGCTAAAACTATTTTGTCTGAAACTGATGCTAAATTATATATATGCAGAGTTGACTACTTTTAAAATTTGGGATCTGTAAATTGGAAGAGGGGAGGGAAGCAGCTTTTCCTTGATAAGAGAGCTACAAACATAAATCCTACATTAATTTCTTTCATGACTTAATACATCAAAATCCCTCTTGAGTTATACGTTCGTCCTTCTTCTGGTGAGTGAGTTGCCGCTATGGAAGCTGCCATGTGCTCCCCGGTCCTAGGATGGTAAATCTGTGAATGTAAAAGGCTCTTGTACAAAGTTGTCCTTGGCTTCTTCCTTCCTTCCAAGAATTCATGCTTCTCCGTGTTTCTAGATAGAGGCAGACTGATAAGCAGCACAGTGACCAAGCACCAGGGTGAGATGTTATAACTAAAGAATTCTAAAGGACCTGAAGAGCATGGCGTAGTATGTAAATCGGCTTCTTGGCCAAACAAATGGAAAGTGGCTAGCATTACAGCCGCCCTGTGAAAAGGCTTCTGAAGTCATCCTGGGGGCTACAGATGCAAGTCTAAATATTTGCCAAATCTGTCGGTTTAAAAAAAAATATATATCTATATATATATGTATAGCAAAGAGCAAAAAAAGAATGGTGGATGCAAAGATAAATCATGCATATTAGAGGAGTGTTAATATAACTTTTCTACAGGGAAATCATAACTCAAAATTATTTATATTATCTGAAAACACCAGCAAGCATGTGGGTAAGGTTTTTTAATTATTATTTTTGGAGTATTTCTTCACCAAAGATTCTTACAGGCATTAAGCTTTTATGGTATAAGAAGGAGATTTTCCTGTGGCTAAATAGGCAAGAATTAATAGCTGATTTTTCACACTGATGGGAATCACCGTTACTGTTTACCATGGATATACGTGGAGACTGGTGTGGTTCAGCATCTTCTTAAATGTTGTTCTATACTGTAGTATGCAGATATTGGTGATTTTTCTAAGTATCATCATTTCAGATAAAGCATAGGTACGTGTTTTAGTCACTGAGAGATACTATTCATTTTTTGACACAACATATCTTTCCAATTAAAATTATTAAAATAAAGTTTGATAATGCTCCATTTTGACAGATAATTAAAAAAAAGTCTCATATCGCATATTCTTCCTCGTAAGAGAATAATCAGATTTTTATTAGTAATGTTGTATTGCTAAGGGTTGCCGATAATCAGCAGATTTTATCTGTTCGTTGGTCAGCTTCCCGATGTGATGGTTTCTAGAGTTTAAGGATATTGTTTTGGAAAGTCATTGTTATAGGAAAAGGCGTATTTCACTATCAAAATTTTCAAAATGTTACACTTTTCAGGTTTGCATCTTGGGCTCCTATTGGCTTAGACAGTATTGTCTTTCATGCATAGTTATCATGTGGCTTTCCTGTTAATGCTTTTGAAGTAATGAACAGATATTTCATAGTAAGAGTGTGTACGCATATGAGTGAATGTATAAACGTACACCTGTGATTTTCACTAATTGACTCAAGTCCTGTTTCTATCAACTTTATTTCTGTGCTGGCGTGCTGCTTTTAGTAAATAAGAAACTGATAGTTTAATAAATTTGCAATGCGATGGACAATAGGATTATTTCAAATTCAGCTTGTGCTGTACTGATTGTTGATTTGATTGTTATTTGAGTCATCGAAAGTAATTCAGGATCCTTGCAATTCCACTCTCTTTCTTTTTAATGGAGCTTTTACTGCAGCAGGTATATCATAAATATGCTATGTTGTTCTGTATCAGATCTGTGTACTTCCTGAAATGAAGGTTATGTGGTTGGGATGAGAGAGAATCCTCCATAACTGCCACGTATTGGTAACCTGGCAGTTTATCACCCTAGAATTTATATTGATGCTTTTGAAATAATTACATTTAGATATTGAATCTTTAAACCAATGCATTTAATGTTTAAAGTACATGTTCCATTTCTGTGTTTTCAGGATACTCGTTGTAGTCTTGCAAGAGAAAATTGCTGCCTTTGACAGCTGTACTTTCACCAAAAAATTCTTCGTTACAAGTATGTATAATACTGGGTTGGGTCTTTTTGCTCTAGTAAGTAGGTGGAGTTACGTAAAACAGATTTTTTTGAAAGTTGTCAGCAGAATGAAGTTGCATGCCAGAAATGATGCAGCAAGAAGAATTTAACTTCTTTAATCCCCAAAGCACGTGCACATATTCATGGAGTTTCAGGATCTGTTGTTTCAAAACATACATACATACAAAACATACGTATATACGTATGTATATATGTATATATAAAGTTCTGTTACTCTGTAACTCTTTACATATCTCTTGTTGCTGTAGCTAATTTCTGATTTGCTGTGAAGAAAACTTTCATTGACGTCCCTAGGTAATTCAAATATCCTTTTGTTTATTTTGCAGAAATACAGAGACTGTATTTTGAGTTTTGGGTTGTAAGCACAATGAACCGTTTGAAAACAGATTGACAGTGATCTGCGCACTTCTTATTTTTCTTGTTGTTCCTTAGTCCCAGGTGCATTTGTTCTTTAATTTCTCCCTAGTTTAGCAGTCCACAAAGCTTAAGCAGGTCAGTGATGTGTTACAGCAGGAAAAGGAGGAATTTGTCTGCAGGTGCTATATTTTGAGCATGGAGGAACTGTTGCTGGTGAATCCCCTTCATTCCTCCCTACTCGCCTCTCAGCAGGAGGCAACTGATTGTAGCAGATAAGGTGCTCTCCAAAAGCTATTCCTCTACTGCAAGTGTCCCTTTATCTGCAGCACTAACATCTTTAATGCAGTAGGGGAAATATGGTATATTTTCTACTGCTTTGGCTCTGACTTGTTGCTGGATGTAGACTTATGATGCAATTTATCTTCTCCCAAGACTGTGTGTTGTCTATGTAGTGCTGAACACCAGGAAGTTATTAGCCCCAGAAAAATGAAAATTTAATCTCTCCAAGTGGTTAATGAAGAGTGCTAGTGTTTATTCATTAGGATAGCCTCTTGAAATCTTTTAGATTACAGAGAGATCATAATTTACTTTGGAAGTGTTGGAGCTTTTTGGTTAAAAACAAAAAGCTGAAACTTCCTGAGTGTATTTTCAGTCACAATAGGAGAAGTTCTAAATTATCTTTCTATATTACCTGTGTGTTTAAAGAAAAAACTATTTATAAGAAGCTATTTCCTACAATACTTGGAAGAAAAGCACCATTATGCAGTAATATTAAAGTTGCCAATAGGTGTCAGTTTATTCCTATACATGGACATAAAATACCTAAGAATCTGCTAGTGTTCAGTAAAGATGGCCAAATGGGGAAAGACTTGTTTGTGGTTTTTTCATTAATCTTCCTTTTTATTCCACCAAAGAGAATCAGGGTACTAGCCTTGCTTTATTTTAGGTCCAAAATTTAAGTGTCTCCATTAAGTGTGTATTTGGACAATCCTTGTGCTTTTCTAATTGCAGTTGTTTGCAAAGGAACATACTGAAATTTGTTCAGTCAGTTTTTAAAAACTTTATTTTGCAGAACAGATTTTCAGTGAGTTTTTGTGAAACAGGCATGGAATTTAAAGACAATAAAAATGAAGCTGTTGCAGATTCTCAAAATGTGGTCAACCTTTGTTCTAGTCCTGGGGTTTCCAAACTCGGGTAAAGATATTAGTCACTTCGGCTTAGATGTTTGAAAATGCTGCGTAACGCAGCAAGCAGCTGGAGCTGCTGCTGGTGTCACTGCCACCTTCCCACCACCCCTGCTTGCCTGTGGCCAGTGACGGAGGTGCAACTGGGTCAAAACAGTGCGCCTGTAAAAAACAGTTTATTGGACCTGTGCTGGTGGCTAGTTGTCCTGAGGATTTTGAAGCTCAGTTCTTTCACTTGAATAGCTTATGCTGTCAAGTGGGTGTAAAAACTCTGGCATGTTGAAGGCTGCAGTAGAGCTTTTGTCTTAGCTTTCACGTTTTGCATGTACTGAAATTCTCTGGACCTGAGAGTACATCTTCATAGGCTTCAGAGAGTCCACACATCAGAATAATTTAAAATTTATGTAAATGAGCTACTTAGTTAACTACTTTGGTGTCTGACAATTAGCCAGCTGGTCAGTAGCCGGACTGGTGTGTATCATTCTCCCTTAATTTAGGAAAGGGAGATGTCAGTTTCAACTGGGAAAGCAGAAATCTCTGAAAAGGAAGCTTGGGAAAAGGTCTCATAGACCGTTTTTTCCATTATTGGAGCATCCCTGCTCTGCAAAATGATCACACTACATCCCGTCATGACTGTGGGTCCATCCTGATACACCTCAGTTGGAGCACGACAGTGAGAACGACAGGGGCTACCTAGGGAGTTTTTCATCATGAAGAATATTCTCAGTTGTGTTATCCAGCTGCTTTTGGTCAGAAGCAATGGCATAGAGGGCCAAAAATATGAAATTAGGATCAGTAGCTCTTTGAAGACATTTCTGGGACAGTGTAAACCACTAGAAAAAGGAAGAAAAAAGACAATTTGTGAAAAGACTTGATGATTATACAGGAAATCACATCTCCTGTCCGTATCTACTCAGTGGAGTGTAAGCTTTAGAACCTCACTGAGACAGCTTAAATGCAGACATAATTAAGCAGAAGCACTTGTCCATTTTGTTGACTATTCATACATGGAAATTAAATGCAGAATGTACAATTACAAACAGTGTTAGGAATTCTGAAGTTTGGTGTTCCTCAGCAACGCTAATGCAGCTGTGTTGCACATGAGTAGTATTTGTCTTTTTGTTTTTGTGGTTGAATGTGTCTCTTAATATATTGTTGTAATAAATATACCATAAAATATTCAGGATGTAGAACATGGTCAAGTTTGTGCTGCTGTTGGAATGTTTAACTCTTGCTTTTTGTTTAATTTTTTATTTTTTTAGAGCTAACAGTGCAAATGTGATGCCGTAATAATCTTCCTTTTGGCAGGAGGAGTAGGTTCTTCATGTAATTAGATGGAAATGTACTGATTTGGCTTGAGTGACAGAGCCAGCACATTTTATTTGTAACAAAAGCTCACTGTACAGGTGCTCCAGTTTTGGTGTGCAAATTTAAGACAGGTGCTTAAATTCAGAAAATGTAGTGTGGATGGTCACAGAAAAATTACTTTTACTTCTCTGTGCTGTATATCCACTAATCTATCCTGTGAGGTTGTCTGTCTTCAACGGTGGCTAAGGAAAGGTATTCCGTCAGTGTGCAGAGAACTCATGCCTGTTACTTTCACGTGGCAGTCTGTTCTCCACTGTGCCTAGGTTTGGAGTCAGCTCGGTTTCATTAAGAAAGGAAAACAGAATGGTATAGGTTGTGAATTTGCTGTTTTGAAATGCTTATGTGGCCAAGCCCAACAAATTTATCTGATACTTATAATAAAAATGAGTTTCTCTTGGCAGCTGTGAATGTAAAGGTGTAGATTTTTAAATTGCTATGAGTTTTAGTCTGATTAATGTAAGATTTCCTTCAGACCTTTTTTTCTGAATACTGCATATGACTGAAAGATCAAAACCTAAAGTGATGTACAGGCTTTTTTCCTGCTTTGTTCTGTAAAGAATAGATGCAAAAAAGCTGAATTTCATTGATTTCTATTCCATCAGTGCTCCCACAACCCTTCTCCAAAAATGCTTACTTAGTGAACATTGATGATTATGAATATGGCCTGATGGACACTTTCTTCTCTATAAAGAATATCCTTCCCACCCCCAAGGCCCTAAGTAAAGATTATCACAGATAACATCATGCATGTGGCATCATCTTTGTGTCCGATAACTAGTGCCTGCTCAGGTTCTCTGGCCCTTCCACTTCTCATATTGATATATTCTCCATCCGTTATTCTCTGGGGATGAAGACAGTTATTGCAGCCATTAGCTGGCACCACATTTCTATTGATGCTGTACAGCTAGAGCCTTAAGAGGTAATTTTCCAGATTTTAGTCAGAGTACTTTATTGTATATAAAGTCTCAAAAGACTTTTGCCTAACCACATGCCAAAAATTATTCAGTATATATTAAATGCACCCCCACCTGCACCTCTTAAATAAATAAAATAAGGAAAAACAGTGTTTTACTCTCTAATCTGTAATTTGGCTGTTGTAGTCCTATCTTCACTGATATTTATATATAAGAAATAGAATGTGGGTTTCAGTTTGTCCCAGGCCTGATCTGGAAATCATCTAGGCTTTTTTGTGCGTTTTTGTTAGCTTTGTTGGAATGCCTTTTCCTTGATTGACTCATAGGAAACAGTTTGATCTCTTTGCTTTGAAGTAAAAACTCTAGATGCCTCATGAAAAAGTTTAATGCCCAAAGAGTTGCAAACAGAACTTCTTGAAGAATGTACGTTTCCCTTCTCAACTGTGACCAGTAAGTGGTATTTATCCTGCGTATCCCACCTAGTATAATAATTGATAGGATCCCTGTGTCTGTGGAGGGAGGCTCTTCAGTTCAGATTGAAAGTCCTTAATGCAGGTAGAAGAAAGCTCTTGTTTCAGAATCTCTTCTTGATCAGTGAAGAGAAGCCAAGTACGTTCCTGTGAATTGTCTGCAGGCTATTAGTAGTTTCTGTATCATTAACGTGTGTGTGTGTATGTATAAAATATATAAAAATAAAGGAAAACTTCATGTATTTTGTAACTGCCGTCTATGAGAAATGGTGATTTGATTTTGCTTTTTATTTTTTAACAATGTTGTTTACAAGAGCTTTTTTCTTTTTTTGAACCTGGTAATCAGTGTGTCACTATTACAGGATAATTAGGCTACTTTTTGAAAAAGCCTTTATGACAAGGCAGAAGATTTATGGAAACCAATGTCTTTGCTTACAGGGTATTTTATTATATTTCAGGAAAGTATAAATATTACAGAAAAATTGCATGAAGACAGAAATAAGACGTTCACACCCAAGATTTATATCCATATCTCCTGTTTTTGACAAATTTAAAAATTATATATAGAACAGGAAATGCTGTTTGTTTCTGCATAAGTTACTTTTATCTAAAACACCCAAATCCTAAATGTTAAAGGGCAAAACAAAGCAGTCTTATTCACATTGTCC